GATGTGTGTATGGATTGGGATAACAGTTGTATGAGCCCCTAATAAAATGTTAAAAAAAAAAAAAGTAGTTTGTGTAAAAACTATTTCAGGGTGGTATTTAGTGTTTTCTAACTTGAAATGGAGTCTTGGTAGCCTAGTGGTTACTACCTTGGGCTGCTAACCCTAGGCCAGCAATTTTACACCAACCAGCTGCTCCGCAAGAGAAAGATAGCCGGGGCGTTCCACTCCCGTGAAGACTTACAGTCTCTGAAGCCCGCAGAGGCAGTTTTACCCTGCCCTGTACTCTGGGCACCGAGTTGGCATTGATTCTATGGCAGAGAGAGAAACTGAAAGAACAGATTTAGCCCCTTCTTCTGTGTGAAAGAAATCACAGCAATGAAAAACTAAATGGAATTTTATTATCTTAATCTTTCAAATATAAATTGTAAGCTTATTTTTTAAAATTGCAAAATACCTGTGCACTAAGAAACTTTTGGAAATAGCAAAGAAAAAAAGTCTCAAAGTATAGCACAGAAGTATTAGGACTATAATGAACCCTGTGTCCTATAATGCAGCTTCAGTTAGCTGTTTGTCCCTCTTCGTACTTGCTTTCGATTCAGAGTAGCTTTGCTTTGCTAAAAACCCTAAACAGTATGTAATTTTATCCAGAAATATTACTGTATACATTTCTGAAAGAAGAGGATTCTATTTTTAGACATAATCGGAGTATCATATTTATAGATGTAACCACAGTATCATCTTTATCAACCCCCCCCACCAAAATAAATAAGCAAAAAACCCCAGATACTTAAAGGTAATAAAACATAGTTCTTAGGTCATTGTGTAGTGTCTTTGGAATTCAAGGCATGACAATTGGTCTCTTGTGTGGAACAACAGAAGAGGAAGGAGAGTCAGGTATAGAATGCTTTCATGAGAAAACTACCTGTTCTGACATGAGACCAGAACTGAATGGTATCTGGCTACCATTACTAAACATTTTGATCAAAAACTACAAATAAGAATACTGATCAAAAGGGGAAAAATGCAGAATAGAGTTTACAATTATTATAGAAGTTAGACTTTCTGAAGTCAATGGGGTTGAACCCTTGAAATTATTGCCCTGAGAAAATCTGTAAACTTAAAAAAATAAGGATCTACATATAATCTCCTCCCCAGGGGACGGACAACAGAAAAGTGGGTGAAAGGAGACATCGGACAGTGTAAGATACGACAAAATAATAATTTATAAATTATCAAGGGCACATGAGAGACAGGGGAGCTAGGGGAGAGGGGGAAAAATGAGCTGATACCAAGGGCTCAAGTAGAAAGAAAATGTTTTGAGACTGATGAGGGCAACAAACGTACAAATGTGCTTGACATATAATGGATGGATGTAGGGATTGTGATAAGAGTTGTATGAGCCCTCAATAAAATGATTTTTAAAAAAACTTAAAAATATATATCTTAAGTCATCTTAAAATCAAACTTGTGCATTCAGTTTGTGGAGTTCCTTGAAGAATTTTAGCTTTGCTAAAATGCAGATTTTCTTGCAAGTGGATAATACACATTGTTATTTTTACTTCAGGATGAATGAGTTTTGGGTTCCCTTTGAAAAGTAGAGTTGATAGAGAAGAGGATGAAGAGTAAGACCAGTGGGAACTAATTAGTAGTGCCACTTGGGGGTAGGTACAGAGCAGGGAGAATCCCTTCAGGAGTTGGTCTAAAAATTTTACTCTGGCCTAAACTAGGACCTCTTCAGTGTTCATAAAATTTTCTTACGATTTTCTGTTGGGAAATGGCTGATTGTTTTTAAAAATCTAGGCATCTCTTTTGAAGCATCCTCTTCTAAATCTGGCGTTAGAAGGGGCTGCATGGGCAACCGTGAAGGGGAGAGGGAGAAGAGAGCCTCTGGACACAATTAACACATTACACCCCTCACATTCAATTTCTGTGCCTTATTAGAAGTATGAGCTGAAAATGTTATTTCACTGATGCTTTCAGAAGAATCGTTATAGAAATTTTAAATAAAGACTAAAAGTTTCACTTATAATTCTGTCTTTCCAGCACACATTTAGTGTTTTTCTCAAAAAACTGACTACATAAAGCTAGCATCTACAGAAGTATCTGGCTGAAATTACCCTGAGATTATTCCTTTGTATTTTGATTGGTGAGAGTTTTAGTTTGGGTTGGCCTTTTAAAACTAGGGAGAAGTTATAAAGATAATAATGTAAGTTACTAAAAGGAAGTTCTAGCATAAGGAATGTCACTTTGTGTTTACTTTTCAGATAAAAGCGAACTCTTTAAAATTCCTTCAGGTCCCTGTGGGGCCCCTACCCCCCCAAAAGATTAGTAATGAGAGAGAGACACACATACACATACTTAATTCATTTTAGTTGAGGTCAGTCTGTGCCCATCAATAAACTATTCTTCTGGTTAATGTAATCGTGTGGGCTGTCAAGTCTGTTCTCACGCAGAGTGACCTCATGTGACACTACTGTAGAACTGCCTAATAGGATTCTCTTGACTGTTATAGCTCTGGAAGCAAATGGCCAGACCTATTTCCAGAGGAACCCTTGGGTGGGTTCACACTACCAACTTTTAGATCAGCAGCTAAGAGCTTAGCCATTCTGCTGCCCCGCAGGGCTCCTTACATTAGTATTCTTGTATAGGATGTCAGCAAGTTGGTTTAAAAAACAGAACAAAAAAACAGGTGCTGGGGTGGGTAATGGAGGATTGAAAAGTAATGAACATTTTCCACAAACTGTTTGAATTGTGGTGCTGGAGACGAATATGCAATGTACCAAAGACTGCTAAAAGATGGATCTGTCTTGGAAAGAGTATAACCATAGTGCTCCTTGGAGGCAAGGATGGGAGACTTTGTTTTGCATTCTTTGGACATATGTCAGGAGAGACCAGGCCCTGGAGAAGGGCATGCTGTTTGGTAAAGTAAAGGGGCGGCGACAGGGGAGAACTCTGTGGCTGCAACAATGCTCAAGAAGCATAGGGACCATTGTGAGGATGGCCCAGGACTGGGTAGTGTTTCTTTTGTTGTCCCTGTGGGGTGGAACTGACTTGATGGTACCTAGCAACAATATTTGAAACCTCCCTGTATCTCCCAACAAGATTATTGTGCAAATGTATATTTTTTATTTTCCCCTTTTCTGTAAATGTCCCACACCTTGCTTGATGTGGACACAATAGAATATTACACATAAATGAAGCAAGTGTGGTGATAGAAAGATACATTGTTGAGGTGAAAAGAGAAAGGTGTGGGACAATGTATAAAGGAAAAGAAATAAAAATATGTATTTGCATTTGCTTGTGTCAGCACAAAAATCTTAGAAGAATATACAATAAATTAATCACCATGATTTATTTGTGTGGTTGGGTAGGGAGGGAAAGTATCAAGACAGGCCTGGCAGTGAGATTTCTCAGTGAGTACACCCCCAAAAAAGAAAAGAAATAAGCAAAAACAAGGCCAATGCCGCTTTCTGAGGCTGAATCTTTATGGGAGCAGAGGGTGTTATCTTTTTGCTGCAGAGCAGCTGGTGGGTTTGAACTGCTGAACCTGCAGTTAGCATTCATTCTAATGCTTACTTAACAGTACCACCAAAGCTCATAATAGTCTTCTGATTTTTGAAACAGAATGCATGATTTGAATACATAATTTAAAAGGAGAAAAAAGTATATACTATTTCCCCCTTTGCTTTAAAAGTTTTATATATCTATGTAGTACATTTGGTGAGTTTTCTAGATTATTTTAAGAAAATTAGAATTATGATTAGTAAATGCTCATTTTGATCAGAATGTGCTTTATTTACATACAAAGTGTGTATCATAATTATACTTGGAACATTGCCTGTGGGGGGAACAATGTACGCCACCTCTAACGGCACTTGTAAACTTTATTGGAAGTGTCTAAGCAGTTTAAGAAAGAGGTGTTATATGTGTGTCAGGTTTATGTTGTAAATGATGACAATTTGGAACTTGTGAGCATATTGGTAACTACTGAGAAAATCAAAACATTCATTCTTTAGTTACTGGAAATACCCGAAAGAAAAAAAATTAAACCTGCAATGCAGAGTAATATTCTACCTTAATTTTAATGTGGCTTATTCTTTCAGAATACTGTAGAATTCTACTTATAATTTTTTAAAAAAACATTAGGGGCTCATACAACTGTTATCGCAATCCATACACACATCAATTGTGTAAAGCGCATTTGTACATCATTCTCAAAACATTTTCTCTTCATTTAAACCCCCGACATTAGGTCCTCATTTTTCCCCTCCCTCCCCGCTCTCCCCTCCCTCATGAGCCCTTGATAGTTTATAAATTGGTATTTTGTCATATCTTGCCCTGTCCGACGTCTCCCTTCACCCACTTCTCGGCTGTCTGTCCCCAGGGAGGAGGTCACATATAGTTCCTTGCAATCTGCTCCCCCTTCCTTGCCCATTCTCCCTTTACCCTCCCTGTTTCGCCACCCACACCACTGGTCCTGCAGGGCTCATTCGCCCTGAATTCCCTGTATTTTCAGCTCCTATCTGTACCAGTGTACGTCCTCTGGTCTAGCCATGATTCGAATTCGGCCTTGCAGGTCTGTCTACTTATAATTTTTGTGTTGTATTTAGGACAACTCAATGCTATCAAGTCAATTCCAACACATAGCAACCTTATAGGACAAGGTAGAACTGTCCTGGGGGTTTCCAAGACTAAACTGTTTACAGGAGTAGAATTCTGAGATGGTCTTTGAACTTAAATGATTTACCTGATACTAAATACATGCTATAGCATAGTTTATAAATAATAAAAGTAAAAAAAAATAGAACAATTTACTCTACTTTCAGAATATTCTATCTCTCATCTTTTCATTTACAGGTAATGAGAGGTTTTAAAGTAAATCTCATTTTTAAAAAAACCTTTTTTCCCCCCCTAAGTATATATTCTAGTTACACATTGAACTTCTTCTTCTTCTTTTTTTTTTATCCCCCACATTGAACTTCTAACTGCAAGGTCAGCAGGTTGAAGCCACTGGCTGCTGCTCAGGAGAAAGATGAGACTTTCAACTTCAATAAAGCGTTACAATGTGAGAAACTCGGGGACCAATTCTTCTTTGTCCTGTAGGGTCCCTGAGTTGAAATCCACTCATAGCAATTAATTTGATTTGGAGATTTTAAACCTAGTTTCCCTCCCATTTAAAAAAAAGGCTGAAGTAGAATATTTATAGGGTAGAAGTTCTGGAACCTTAAATTGCCAGATGAGAATAAAATAATTCTAGCATTAACTATTTATGGAAAAGATAAGAGCCTTTAATTCTTGAATTAAATTCTCTAATGTGTTTTTGAGAATATAATCAAGTAACTATAATAGCTTTGAAATTTAGAGCAACTCCCTCAGTTGAGGTCTGGGAAAGCCCCTTGGAGTTTGAATGGGAACAGCAAGCCCCCATCTGTGCTAACGCTCACTAGCATTACACGGAAGATGGAGTCTGCTTTTCCAGTAGAAAACAATGTGGGGGGGAGGGGGGGTAGGATTTTGTTTACAGTTTACCTGAAATTTGAGTTACAAGCTAACAGTTTTACTTGACAGAAGTATTATATTTTTAATGTGAGACAAATTTTTATTTTTTATAGAAAGCAGGAATGTTTCTCTCAGCCACAACACCATTGTGCTGAATCTGGGGAGATCTAGTATCGAGTTACAGCAGCCATTGGGTTTTGCAAGAGATACTTTTCCTTACATTAACTGAAAGCTGACTATAAAATAAAAGAAGGAGAAATTACAAAGAAAAAAAACATTGAAAATTAAAAAGATTTTCCCACAAATACAGGAAGAAAAGTTAGATAAATATGCCAGTGTGTACAGATAATATCCCTGAGCTCTAGCTTCTACTAAATGGTTACTTTCATGCTTAAATATTGTGAGTTTAGATATTTGTTCATTAGTTGATATGAATTTTTAATAGACAATGTTTTCAGTTATACAAATATTTTATTTCCCAGGAAGGTACTTGTCCCTCCTCTTAGAACACATTTTTGTCTTAAATGTAATCTGCCAGGAACACTTATATTTTGTATTTACCTTGAGGATCAATTTAATAACAATTTCAGTGTTATATTTTAATGCTATTTTATGTCTTACCAAAAATAGAAATCTGTTTTAAAAGGTTTCTATAATGGCATGATTTGTAAATTACAGTAAATTAGATTTTAGAATTTCACTAAAGAATTATTTTAGTTAAGTGTTAAGAAGTCTGAAGCCCTATAAAACATCTCTTTGGTTGCAGTATGATATAGCCAGCATAGTGATCGTTTATGGTCTTTTTACTGTTAATGAAAATTAGAATTATGGTTTATTTCTTAGGCTTCTTTGTATCTCCCTCAAAGTTTTTAAAAAAGGCTTTTTTTCTCATAGGTTTGTCAAAGTATAACAAACTTTCTTATAAGTAACTGTTTTTAAAACCAGCTAAATGTAATTTCTACATATGATCAGAGCAGAATTTGCTTTTAGTCTAGATTTCTCTTTAAGAAAAATCCTTTGTTAGGATAGACCAAACTGCTGAAATGAAATCCCTTAGAGAAAAGAAATTAGCAATTAACCAGTAGACAGCAAACACTTACGGTTTATTCTTAAGGCCTGGATGTAGATCAGGTTCTTATAAAATGTCACAGTAATGAATTTTCCATTAAGGCACAGATGGCAAGGGTGCTTGTCAGATAACGCAAGCCAGTCTTCCTATTTTTATTTTAAAATTCTACCAGGCATTGAATTGAATGTATCTCCTTTTTTTGTCGTTAGTAGGTAAAAAGCCTCTGGTTGGCTTTCTAGGTAAAATACGTTTCCTTTGTTTCAATAGGACATGTATCAAAATAAGATTGTATAAACCTACCTTCTGGCTGAAAGGATGCTGTTGCAGCGATGGTATGGTCTGTTTGTAATGCAGGCTAGTGCACAGCCAAGATGGAGCTTTGCTTCTATTGGCTGACCCACAGTGCAGCGCAGCTGACAGGTTCCTCTATGTTCATTTGCATTAAGTCCTGCTACCCTTAAATCATTCATAAACTTGAATAGAGCTGTTTGAGGTATAACCTGCCACTCCTTTTTCTCACCTTTCTGTTTGTCATTGAGCTACATTTCTGTGTTAGATTTTGTGGATTACTACCAAATTTGTGAATCCTTAGGGTTTAACTGTAAAATTGCAGTTCTTCCCATGAATATTACATTGGGAGAAGTAGTAACCTTGGAAACAAATAACCCAGGTTTACATGCACAATATTTCCTCCAGGAAGCATGCATGAGATCTTATAAATGAAATTTATTTCCATATATAAATTGTGCCCTTTGTAAGTGGTAATTTACATCTGGTGGTTTGATTTAAGGAGAAAAATTAAGGGAAAAGAATTAAATTTTTAAATCTGCAAGGTGAGAGGAGGTTTGATTGCTACATTAAAAAGCATTCAGAAATTTAAAGGGCAAAAGGCTCTCCAGTTGGATGTTTAGAGATAGTTTTAATTTATGGTGTATTATTTAGGATTGTGGTCTAAGCATTATACAATTTTAAATAAGAGACTGGCTATTATAACAATAGAGGACTGGGAAAATTATGCAGACTCATCTTTAAGTTATAGATAAATTGGTACATTAGATTTTGGTGGAGTAAATGGAATTCCAGACCACGTCGTTGTGTTCATGCGGAGCCTGTATATAGGCCAAGAGGCAATTCAAAAAACAACAACAAAAACCCCAAAGGAATACTGTGTGGCTTAAAGTCAAGGAAAATGTGTGCGGGTTGCATCCTTTCACCTTACTTATATGGTCTGTATACTGAGAAAATAACCTGAGAAGCTGAACTATATGAAGAAGAATGGTACATTGGGATTGGAGAAAGGCTTATTAACAATTTATGATACACAGATAATGCATCTTTGTTTGCTGAAAATGAAGAGGACTTGGGGCACTTGCTCATGTAGATCCGTGACCATAACCTTCAGTATAAAGAAAACAAAAATCCTCACAGCTAGACCAATAGGTAACATGATAAACTAAGAAAGGATTGAAGTTGTCAAGGATTTCATCTTGCTTGGAACCACGATCAATACTCAGGAAGCAATCAAGAAATCAAACAATGTATTACCTCGGGCATATCTGCCAATGATCTTTTTAATGTTGAAGAGCAAGGATTACTTTGAAGACTAAGGTGTGCCTGACCCAAGGCATAGTGTTTTTACTTAACTCATATATGTGTGTGAAAATTGGACAGTGAGTAAAGAAAATGTAAGAAAAATGGGCACACTTGAATTATTGTGTGGGTGAAGAATATTGGAAGTAACACAAACTGCCAGAAGAACAAAGAAATGTGTATTGGAAGAAGTACATCTAGAATGATCCTTAGAGAGAAGGATGGTTAGACTTTGTCTGACATACTTTAGATATGCTATCAGGAGAGACAAATCCCTCATGCTTGTTAAAGTGGGCGTGAAGGGGGAGAAACAAGACTATGAGATGGGTTGACACTGCTGCAAGAGTGGGTTCAAACATGACAAATGATTGTGAGAATGGCACAGGACTGGGCCTGGTTTTGTTCTGTTGTACATAGGGTTGTTATGAATTGGAACCAACCCCACAATACCTAAACAACAACAAAAGGGAAAATGAAAAAACCATTGCCATCGAGTCAGTTCTGATTCCTGGCAGTAGAAGACAGAACAGAACCTACCCTCTATAGGTTCTCAGACTGTAATCTTTAAGGAAGCAGACTGCATCATCTTTCTGCCATGGAGTGACTCATTCACTGCCATCAAATCAAAGATGACTCATAGTGCCCCTATAGGATAGAGTAGAACTGCCCCGTGGGTTTCCAAGGCTGTAACTCTTTACTGGAGTAGAAAGCGCCTTCTTCTGAGGAAGAAAACTGCTGACTTTGCAGTTCGCAGCCCAACACATAATCACTACATAACCACCAGGGCTCCTCATGGAGTGGCTGGTGGGGCTCAAACAGTAGTCAGCAACTGAGTGTTTAATCAATACCCAGTGCTGTTAAGTCTATCTGACTCGTAATGACCCTACAGGACAGTGGTTCTCAACCTTCCTAATGTCGCGGACCCTTTAATACGGTTCCTCATGTTGTGGTGACCCCCCAACCATAAAATTATTTTTGTTGCTACTTCATAACTGTGATTTTGCTACTTTATGAATTGGGCGACTCCTGTGAAAGGGTCGTTCGACCCCCAAAGAGGTTGTGGCCCACAGGGTGAGAACCGCTGCTATAGGATATAGTAGAACTGCTTCATAGGGTTTATGAGACGGTAACTCTGTGTGGAAACAGATGACCTCATCTTTCTCCTACAGGCTGGTGAAGACCCACATGAGTGGCAGGGGGAGTGTGTAGTCTAAGCCAGTCTTGCACTCACCTTACTTCCTCAAACAAGTGGAGTCTTACCCACTTGGCTCTAGAAGCATGGCATATTCCTATTGCGGTTCAGTAAAGCTCTTTGGGAGCCATCCTTCTCCTTGCTCAAACCATTAACCGTGCCCAGCCATGAGGGCACACAATAGGACATGTCCCTGTTCTACCCGGGGGAGCACATACGCAAATAGATAGGACAGTTATTACCCTGATAATTCCAAATTAAGCAGAAAGTGCTTGATACCTGAGAGGGAGCAGAGGAAGGACTGTTGAGCTCAGAAGACGGAAAGCATTGTTCTCTGGAGAACTGCGAGTACTGTGTGCAGATGGCAATGTCTGAGTTAACCCTTGACTGTGGAGGAGCAAGCACCGAGTGGGGAAACATGGTAGGGGCAGTAAAGGTAGTTCCATGGACACACAAGAGACCCTAGGCACGGCCATCTTTTGTCTGTAAATCTGATACCCAGGCAGCATAGCTGGTGATGGCACCCATGTGATTTGAACCCTCCACCATTGGCACCAGGGTAACGCCTCTTGAGTCTGGGAGCGACTTAGGGTAGCCCACAACTGCCCAGCCTACCACCTGTGTACACTGCACTCCTCCTGTGTCACAAATTATTTTTAAAGGAAAATTGTATATAAAATTTCATTTTAGTCTGAAAAAAGAAAGACATACTCAATAAAGCCTTTTCACTAACTAATCTCAGAGGAGTATTAATGCTGCCATCTAGACATTGTTCTTTTGGATCGCTGACAATTGTTGCATTTGACTTGTGGTTTTTCTAATGTATTTTGTTTAAATTATTACTGTGCTGATGCCAGAGATTTGCTTCCCTCCCCCTACTTATTTAACCCATGGATCAGCCGCATGGGAACGAGATATCTGATGCTTTGATAATAGGATGTGTGCTTCTGAAATGTGTGTCTAGTAGTTATGATGCATTTTTTATTGTTCCTGCCTAAAAGTAATAAAATTCATTTGTGGTATGTTGATGGTGTTGGGGTTTCAGTTTGTAAGATGAAACAAAATGATAGATGTTCTAAAACATTATCTTCCATAATGATTGCTCCACACTAAAACTAGATCTGGGGTGTTAGGGGTGTTTCAAGACAGTGTTGTCATCCTTATTGAGAAGTGCTTATATATTTTTTCCTCCAATTTTCTCATGTTTATTTAAAAATTGTTATAGTGTAATATTCTTTTAATATGAGTAGAATTACATTGATTCTCATTTATTTGGTTTAAGTTGATAAGCAGTAATTGTTAAAATAAGGTGATAAGTTGAATTTAAAAAATTCCTCACACATAGTTTATCACTTCTTATGGTTTAAAGTCTGTTATTAAGGCCCTGTGGATCAGGCTGAGATTTGTATTGTCTCTAAGAATATGATAATGTGGAGGTGTGGCGTGACATCTTCCAGTTTCAGTAGAAAGGGGAATCCCACTTCACCCCAGCCCAAGCTGATTGCCACAAGGTAGAGAGAGATCAGACATGTTTCCAACCTCCATTCTATTTATCTTATTCTGAACTAACCATCCCTCCCATGGCACTTCTCTGCTGGATTTGATAATTGGTTGCATTGGCCACAAAAAACTGATAAAACAGCACACAGATTATGGGTATGTATTAGGGAAATTAACAAGTTATTACAAATCAGAACCAGAAAACATTAAGGATACAGCCCTTTTGTCTACAGCAAAGCTCTTCTCTGTCATGCCAGCAGCATGCTTTTCTCTGTACTCAGCCTCTCAGTCACGCTACCCCTTAGCCTCTGCCCAGCTGGAGCAAGTGTTACAAAGCCCCCTAGCATTGGCACATGCCCGTGACACCCCGCTCTGCAAGCAGGCTCCTGCCTGAAGGTACTTGGTTTTACTCTTTCCATGGGCTGGGAAACTCTGCCTCTTGGTCTTGGTGTAGCTCCTGGTCTTTGTTATGCAACCTCTGGTGCCTCCAGTGCCTTTGCCAGGCAGGGATCTCACAGGGTTCTGTGAGTAATTCTTCCTTGAGAGTCATGGATTCCTGTTCCTCTGTATGGGAAGACTCATTCTTTTTTTTTTTCCTTTTTAACATTTTATTAGGGGCTCATACAACTGTTATCCCAATCCATACACACATCAATTGTGTAAAGCGCATTTGTACATCGTTTCTCAAAACATTTTCTCTCCATTTAAACCCCCGACATTAGGTCCTCATTTTTCCCCTCCCTCCCCACTCCCCCCTCCCGCATGAGCCCTTGATAGTTTCTAAATGGGTATTTTGTCATATCTTGCCCTGTCCGACGTCTCCCTTCATCCACTTTTTGGTTGTCTGTCCCCCAGGGAGGAGGTCACACACAGTTCCATGTAATCGGTTCCCTCTTTCCTACCCATTCTCCCTTTACCCTCCCTGTTTTGCCACTCACACCACTGGTCCTATAGGGCTCATCCGTCCTGGATTCCCTGTATTTTCAGTTCCTATCTGTACCATTGTACCTCCTCTGGTCTAGCCAGTCTTGCAAGATAGAATTCGAGTCATGGTAGTGGGAGCGGGGAGGAAACCTTTAGGAACTAGAGGAAGGTTGTATTTCTCATCATTGTTACATCACACCCTGACTGGCTCCTCTCCTCCCCGAGA